TGGATTGACATTCTAATTGGAGAGGTGAAAACAGAATATTCTTTCCCATTAAGCTTCAATTTCTGGACTGTTAAAGGAGGAAAAGGCTTTTTCTGAGTGCTGGAGCACAAAAGCAAGTAGCCACAACAAAAAAAAAAAAAATACCAGAGAAGCAATCAGCCAAATAATAGGAGATACTACTGATATTAAAAGAGTTTTGTTCACATATGAAAATGCATTTTTAGGTATATTACTTTTTATTTATTTATTTTTCCTAACTATCTTTAAAACTTACAGAATGTAGCTGCCCTGAAACAAGGACCATCCCCTATACAGATTGCCTTTTCCTTCTGGCTAAACTGTGTGTATGACTTCAAAGATTTCAAACGCTATTAGAATTTCCAACAGCACTTAACTACATTTAATTTAACAAGGATTCTTTTGTGATTTACTGTACTATGACAGTAACTTACTTATAAACCTAAATTACTTAACAATTTAGGAAAGCGGTATCCCTAGCCCATTTGATATAGCATATGCACTCAGACATAAAGAGTCTGTGCAATGCACCTGTTGCGACCCAGAAAGGGGCGATTAACCCAGGTTCTTATTAATAAATTCCTTGGGGTGGATTAGAGTGAAATGACACTGAGTAATCAGTGTTTGAAAAGATATATATGTAAGGTTTATTTTAGAACAGTTTTGTTTCAAAGGTAAACAGGTATGTTGCCATTTTGGGTGTTATCATCTATATCTATCGTCTCTAGCAATATGGTATAAAGATAACCTTTAGGGAAAATGCATGAGAGAAAGGGAAAGACAGGATAAGGGTGAGTAAGAGAAAGAAAAGATGAGAGTGGAAAAATGTAAATCACTTACCACAGGGTCCAGCGATGAAGCTTGATAGTTGGAGCTTCCATATCTGTTAGTTGAAGTGGTGGTCTTCATCCGTTGTGGGTGGGGGAGGGAAGCCGCACTTAAAGAAGTTATGAGTTATTATATCCATGGATAGTGTCACGGGCCAACAAGCCTCAAACGTCTCCTGGGCATGCGCAGTTCCTGTGAGGGGCATGGTGAAAGGGTTTTTCCCACCTTTCAGGATTGGCAGGGGGATGGGCTTTGATAGGCCATGCCATGAACCTCCAAAGTCTCCGACAGCCCAGGCCAAACGTGCAGAGTTCATGGGAAGGGTGTGGTAAACACGGCTCTTCCCACGTTTTCAGGACTTGACACCTTCAGCAGCGCTGGCGGGGTTCAGGGGAAGGGGGGGTGGGAGTGGGTCCAGCTGCCTAATCCCAGTCTGCAAAAGTCCCCTGTCAATCCTAGAATGCTTAAATCATTAACTCTTTCAGTCTCTGACAGTACCTGTGAAAATTTTCCCTTGTGTTCCATCAAATACTCACTTCAAATGTTTTGCATTCTTCTCAATGGGTGAAGGATTGAGTCTCATAGAGTAAGATGTCACCCCAGGATCCATCGGCTGGTGATCCCTCAAGAAATAGTGAATTTGAAAGTCGCTAACTCCGAGAGGTGTCCCTACTCAGAGGGAGATTGCTGGTCACAGCCCACTGCACCCCAGGAGAGCTCAACGAGTCTCTCTTGAACCTTTGTTTATAGGGTCTCAAGAGATTGGGCTTTAGTCATAATAACCTTTCATCTTGGCTGCACTTCTTGTTCTCACACTTGGAAAGTGTGCGAACAAAAAATATTATTCCACTTGGATTGTTATTCAGGCAAAAAAAGAAGTTTCCAAGGATGTTCATTAAAAAAGCAAGGAACTCACTGAAAACATTAAAGTCCTGGAAACAGACAGTGTTTCTGATAAGCTCAGAGGAGCTCAGCCCAGGCGTTGTCAAGGTTGAGGCCTATCAAGCATTTCTGTGATCATAGTGTGGCCTAGTGGGGGGCAGGGGGATGCACCACGATATGCATGAGTCCTTCCTGAGCTAACAATTTATCTAGGAAAAGCTAAGAAAGTGAAGGGAGAAATTGCAGTTTTAAGAGCATATTTTGATCCTCTCTGCTACTGCAGGCAAATTTCTTGCAGTATCTTGCCAAGAACAAGAACACACAGATGACTATTGGTATATATTTTTTTGTTGTTTTCAGTAGTAATTTGTCTGCCCCTATGTTTGTAGGGAAAGCAGCCAAGGAGTGAAGTAAAAGTGATAGAGCTGAATGGACTATGATGAATGAGATTCATGCAGAAGGAAAACCATGCTTGTTACCTTTAAGCAGTGAAGAAAGAAATGTCCATGCAAACAGTTCGCATGGGCCAATTACTTCCTAACCAGTGTTTTGTTCATATCCAGTTATAACCATCAAATAAAAGTAAAAACTGCTTTTCTTACTTCCCTTTTCAAGACAGGAGAGGTCTGCAGGTATAAAATATCTGTACATAACACTTCCCAGTGTTTTCCTCAGAGTATTTTTTTAAAACATTTATTTCCTACTCAACCTTTCTCTTTAATTTGTTCAAAAATTACAGTTTCTTTATTCTTTTCTGTCCCAGAAAGATAAACCGTTTCTGGAGAAAAAAAATTACAAAACTTATACTAATTTTTCTTTTTAAATGATTTTTCCCTTACCTGGCTCAATTTTTAAAATCTGTCGTGGTTTAACCCAAGCCAGCAACTAAGTGCCACATACCTGCTCATCTGCTCACTCACTTTCCACAATGGGATAGGAGAGAGAATCAGAAGAGTAACAATTAAGAGTAAAAAACAACAACAACAACAACAAAAGAGTAAAAAGACAGTTCAATAGGTAAAGCAAAGCAAAACAAGTAATTCATTCATCACTTTCCATGGATTGGCAGGTGTTTAACCATCCCCAGGAAAGCAGGGCTTCATTCACGTGTAGTGGTTACTTGGGAAAACAAACGCCATCACTCCAAACATTCTACCCTGCTCTGCTTCCTTTTTCTTCCCCCTCAGCTTTATATACTGAGCATGACACCATATGGTCTGGAATATCTCTTTGGTCAGTTGGGGTCAGCTGTCCTGGCTGTGTCCTTTCCCAGCTACTTGTGCACTTCCAGCCTCCTTGCTGGGGAGCTGATTTGAGAAGCAGAAAAGGCCTTGACTCTGTGTAAACACTGCTCAGCAATAAGAAAAACATCCCCGTGTTATCAACACTGTATTCAGAACAAATACAAACCAAAGCCTCATACAAGCAGTTGTGAAAGTAATTAAGTCTATCCCAACCAAACCCAGCAATTGTTCCTAATCCAAGAAACACATTTTATATAGATGCTTGGTAGTGGCCATTTCCTCAAACAAAGGGCAGAGTGTTTAATTTTAAACAGGCCCATATCTTTTCTCTGCTGTTTACTGTGAACCATGGAGGCCGAAATCCAGATATCCAGAGTTTGTAGGGATTTGTACCACTTGTGTGTTCTTGAAAAGGAAAATAAGGATTTTAAGCGCTCTGTTGAACAGGGTGATTTGCTGTTTTGTATTGCATGGTTTTGTGCTTTATGCCATCAGACTTTGGACATCCAGAAGGAGCTTGGAAATGTCTTCCCATATTACCAGCTCTGCTTTCCAGCACCTACAAGAGGCCAAGTGCTTCTGCAGGGACTGAGTTGCTAGAGGTTGCCCCAATATTTCTTGTTTCCGGAAGTGCCCTCAGAGGGGAGATGCTAATGGTGTGCCTCCTGCCTCTGTGTTTTCTACCTGTCTATATAGGGTATAGAGTATAGGTGGTATTTCCATTTCCTGCTGCACCCTATTGAGAGTGCAGGGTTCATGAAAGGTTCTTGTTTGTTCCTGGGCTTGCCATTTGACCAGGATTAATAACTACGCTGAGGCTTGTTTTTCTGGACAGAGGCCTTGCCTCACTCAGGCTCAGTTCTGAGGATATGTACTCTTTGCCAGAAGTTCTGGTTTAAATTATTCATCATGTTCTGCTGCTCATTTGCCCATTTCCATTGAAGTTTATGGAAAGAGTATAATTTATTTCAATATGACTCATCTTGACATTTTTGTATTTATTTTGTGTTCTTTCCAACATCTGACTTATATAAGAAGTTACATAAAATCAGAGTGATTTTACCTGCATTATATAAACACTGAAGTCAAGATCGAAATGGGAAGGAAAAAGATAGCATTAAAACTTCAACCTATTCCATACTGTCTGCTATTACACTGAGTTCCACCAGGACATTCGTGATGCTTCAAGCTCATCTGCCTAAAAAAACTCCCAATCACTCAAATCATGCAAAATAATTCTTTGTTCTGAGGGAGTTTTAAAGCTGCATTGGCTTTTTTACTCAGTTTACAACATTTCTACACACCCTCAGTTCAACTGAAGGGTTGAGATGCATCAGCACAGGGCAACAGATAGGCTGTTATCTTCAGCCAGCGTTGTTGCTGCTTACATTTTCAAATCCTATCCTAGACTTCCCACTCTTTGAGGGATACATAGCATCACTTTCCTGATAGTTGCCACTCTACCTGTCTTTCCAGACTTCCTCATATCATTGTAATTGCTGGTCCATGCTTTTCAAGGAAAGACTTCCTAGAAAGAAGGAGAACCTGGTGAGAAGGAGCTTCCTTTTTTCTGTGATTCATTTTTATTTCTTCATGGTCCTGATGTTAATACAGTGTAAAATCTGAAATCCTACCATGGTGACCTCAACTGAAATTTTGATGACCTCAGCTTTGAGGAGGAATTTTCATTTCAAACCTTCCAGATGGTTAAGGAGTTCTTTCTGTTCTAGAAACTATTGATGTCCCCGTATGCGGCATCTCTGGGGTGTGAGCTTTCATTTTTTGTGTTTATCATGACTCAATACTTTGATATCTATTGTATTTATAATATGATCCATAGATCAAGTATCTAATCACAGAATATCTATTTCTTTCTAAAATCCATTCTGTCCTAATGATGATGCACTAGGACTTTAAAGGCGAACCATAATTGTACTCATGGACATGTCATGGAGAATCTCCTGCCTGCTGAACAAACCAAAGCAAAAGAAAGATCGAGTTATTATCACGAGAATGAAGTAGACCTTATGGTAAATAATCCATAAGGTAATGCATTTTCGGTAATGCATTTTCAATTAGTAGCATGACTGAGTTGGTTTTAATTTAAAGTGGAAAATTGAGAGCTTTTCATACAGCTGGAAACAAGGTTGTTCTCCACAGAGGCAACTGAGTCTGTTTATTGTCACTTGTGCTTGTTTGCACTGAGGAGGATTTAGTATTTCAATCTTACTTTGTGCCACCAAGACTTATTAGCAGGTGAGATCTTCACTCATTTAAGAACAAGTCAGCAGGACAAGAGACTTCAGCCTGTGCTCTTCTTGATGATGTGAATCCCAAATACACTTCTAGGTAAGGATGGATTCTAATTTTCATATTAGCATTATTCCTTTAAGCAGCCACGATTGAAAAATATTTTCTCCATAACAGAAAACCAAGTCAGATAAAATTAATGTTTTTATATTTCTAAAATAAAAGGAACAAAGTATTTCAAGTACTTAGTTGCACTTTCAGCTTTGCTCTGGTGAAAAAAAAGGTAAATTATATGCATTGCAGTTCATATTAGGGAAATTGGTTCTGAAGAACTTGCCTTCAAATGCTTTTCTATTTCTAGGCAATCTAATTTTCATCTGCATTAGGAAAAAAAGTTAGTTTATGGTAACGTTGAGGTAAACTTGGGATGTTGTATTGTATTTTTGAAATGTTGCTTTATTTGTATACTAATGTTGTTAATGTTATTATATAGGTGTGGGAATACATGATGATAACAAAACAACTGAATTTGAGAAAAGTAATTTTTTTTAGACAATATAAATAAAGCAAAACCTTCTAAAATTAAATAATCATAGGGTTTATATTCTTCCCTACCTAACAATAGTCAGCAACCTCAAGTAAAAATGTTCTGTATCAAATCTGAAAAATTCCAGATCTCTAAGCCTTCCAGTACTTCAGTAGTAATGTAAGTAGTAAAACCGAATAAATAAATGTAGTCTTTAGCACAGAGATGAATGAAAAAAATTCAATACTGTTTTTGTTTATTGCTGCTTGAATTGTCACTTTTGCTTTTTTTATTCTATAGGGCTAAAGCATAGAAATGCACAAGAACTACTTTCTACTCCAAAAGCAGACAAATACAATTTAGTAAGGTTTTTAGAAAGACAATTAAGGTAAATAGATTTAATAATTGATTTATTTTTAATTGCAACCCCCCCCCATTTACTAATAACTCCAGTTTCTCTGAGCTTTAAGTTCATAAAAGTATATAGATTGTCTACAAAAAGGCTGGAAAATTATGAATATGCTTTATTTTTATTGTATTTTACTCTTTTTTCACTTTAAGAGGATTTTTTTTGAACACTCAAGTTTGTAGTTTTTTCTTTAATAATTTAAATAACAATTTTATACTGGTCTAAAATATTATTCTTTAATATTTTTAAAATACTTTTTTTTTCTAAATTAATGCCCAGGACTTTCAGCAACCTAATTTGGAACTAGATGGTCTTTAAAATTCCTGTCCAGCCCAAACCATTCTATGATTGTATGATTCTAATCTTAGGAAAATAAAGTCTTTACATCTGTGGGTTGTACCCAGGTTGTAGGCAGTGCCCCTAAGGTGTTACCTACTGTGATATTTGCCATCATTACTGAATACTTGTCACTCTTGAAGGAGAAGGATGGGTTGGGGAAAGAGAGTGAGGGTCCCCTTGAATCACGTAGATGAAACCAGTAGCAATTGCCTTTGGACAATGAATCAGTAACATGTTGAATACAGAAGCACTGGGTAGTTCCTGTTTCACCAACCTGCCTTGCAGCTCTGTGGGACTTATGTGCCCTGCTGGTACCCTGCCCTGAGTACTTGCTCTACAGGCTCACTCTGCACAGGAGATGTAGGCACACTCCTGGGAAAGTACAGTTCTCAAGTAGTTCTGAATCATTGTGAATATTTTGTTGTGATGACAGTGGCACCCCCCACTGCTCCACTCCAGAACATGTCTGACATGACAGGAAGCTGTTAAGCTATAAACAGCTGTCCTGTGGTTGATGTGAGTGGCCCTGAGGCAAGATGTCTGTTGTCTGGTGCAGGCAATACAACTGCACATGAAGTTAAAAGAATAACTATGGGACTGTGCTGGCCATGACCCTTCATCTCAAGACAGCTGTCATGATATGTGTGCCTGTGTTGGTGAGACTTGAAAGTATGTAGTGATACACCACAGAATCCTCTTGCAAAATATAGGGTGGATGTGGCTATTGTGCTCCAAAGACAGCTGGAGAGATCAAGCTTGATCCAAAGGAAAATGGAGAATGGAAAATGCTGGATTTTGCTCTGTACTCTAGAGTCTACCTTTGCATTTTATTAAAAAGAGCCTGAGCAGCCAGACTACCATCCTGAAATGTGCAAGAATTGGACTCAAACCTTCTTTGACTGTGAAATGTTTAGATTCTGGCTTTTCCATGTCCTTGATCAGTGCTCTAATAAAGCTTTAGAGCACAAAATGTCCATATTACCCAAGTGCAAAAGGAGGCCCTTCTTATTAAGGTTTTCTTTAAGAGTCTTTTTTCTGAAGATATAGGGAATGTTGGTAGAAGCAGAACAGTATATCTTTTGCTATCATCTGTTCTTCAGGGGATGAAGTAATAAAAACATCAAACACAAGACAAATGTTGATTAAAATATAGGTAAGGTGTAGTGAGGAACAAGGAATAAAAGAACCTGTTATCAAGAAATTACTTTTAAGAATTATGAACAAGAATTAGAGTCTGATTTGAGCAGGAAACCTAAGAGCTAGTGCCCCTATAAGTATCACATGCTTTTCCAAAATTTCCATAATTTTCCACTGATGCTTTTCCATAAATTATAGTTTTCAAGACACCTGGCATGGGTCTGTTATGCTGCACAGCTTTTAGTGAGAATCTTAGCCTAATGGGCATTCCAAAATCTGATGTAATAAAAACAATGAGTGTACATGGTGTCATGGTAATTATAGGATACAAATTATATAGGAACAGTAAAGCAGTTTAGACATGATTTTAAAAAGAGGTTACTGTCAAGTAAATAACAATAAAGTTGTTGCCTGCTGAACTTAATGGCACCTTCAGTCCACACAGAAACATTGACTGAAACACTGTTCCTGCATAGGAGGAGTATATTGTTAGAGCAGTGCTACCCAATGACTTTTTTCAAAGGTGACAGAGGAGTGCTAAGAAATGCCAGAAACAGTAAGAGAATAAAATTTCCTAAGTGAGTGACATCAGTCATTTTTGTGGAAACTGGAGGAGTGTTACCTCAGGGTGATGCAAAAACTAAATTTGTGTACACTGCAAATGACTGTTGCTTGGAGCAAGTAATCACAGACCCCATAGGAAGAGATAGAACTTTTGGTCCCTTTCCAAGCAGCACCTCAGAAAGTTGCACTTCAGTAGTGACACAAGTTGAACATCAAAAAAAAAAAAAAGTGCTGTGCTAATATGTAAGCAAGAAAGGAACTATGTAAAATGAATAAGTCCCCAAAACAAAATTAAAAGGAGCAGTTGAGAGGGTAGAAGATTTCCAGGCACAAGGAGCTGCTTTAGTGTAGGGAAAACTCAGAACTATACATATATACAATATCCCCCAAAATGGCACCTGTAAGAAAACATTTTTTGCAGGTCCCAACACAATATTTTTGAGAAAGGTCAATACCATCCATTTTTAACCCAAGACAAGAAGGAAGCCTTCCAAAAAGTCTGTGGAGCTGACTAGTAATGGAGATATGAAAGGACACCTTTTGCTCAAGGAATCCAATAGCACAGTAAAAACTGAAGTGTGTGCTTGCAGTGGAGTTCATTACAGGGAAACATACTGAAGGGTGAGTTGGAGGAACTGTCTCAGTTTTCATTTTAAAACACATAATCCAAAAGAATAAGACTAATATATGAAACTATAATCAAACAGTATCTTACAGGGTTTCCCATAAACTGCAATTGAAGTTGAAGTTGCAAAGCTACCAGCTGTGGTGTGTGCTGAACTTGCTTTCATAGACTTACTGGCAAATGATGCAATAAGGAGAGACAAACTGGTATTTGTTAGAGAATCCTTGACCTGCTCACTCCTGAATATTGTGTGCAGGACCTCTATCTTACAAAAGGGTATAATAAAAATGAAGAGGTATATTATTTATCTTAGGAAAAATAGGGGAGGTATGCTGGAAAACAATACAATTGTGACCATTTTGGCAAAGGTGAGATGACAGTGGTTATTCCATGGTTTTTTTTAAGCAAGAACCTGACTGAACTATTTGGAAGCAGTTTTAAAATCAAAACAAAACAAATAAACATAGTATAACTCATTGCCTCAAGAAGTTTTTGAAAACCAAAATTCATGTTAGAAAGTTCTAGAAACAGGTATTAAAACAAATGATGTGCACATGCCATTCAGTTCAGTAAATCCATAAGGTCCAGGTAATGGAACTTGGCAGCATATATGTTAAAATAATCCAGAAAAATAGGATATTTAACTTATTTTTCCTAACATCTGTTACTGATCCTACTGATCCTTTTAGTCACAGGAGAGTGGACTGGGCAGATATTCCATTTGGTGTATTTTTGTGTGTAGATGTGTCATGTCCCACTTCTACACAGAAGAGAGCACCCAAGATTCATAGATGCCCGTGGTCAAAGTTTTTCTGGACCTTTCTGGTAATGGGTCAGGAGGCTTTGAGGGTCTTTTGGTGGTCTTGATCTCCCTCTACTGGATTGAGCCTCAGTTAACAGTTCAGGCCACTTCTTGACCTCACCTCTGTGCTTGCGCTGTCCTTTACGTTGTGTGGTTGCCATGGACCAGAACAGGGAAGTGGGCACCAGGAAGGTGCTGCCCTACCTACACATGGTCCCCCTTTCCAGACACATCCTGTTTTAACTTGCCTTCTTGAGTGGTCATCAATGTTTGAGGCATAGCAACACATTAACTTCTTGCTGTCCAGGCTTCTACGAGATGACGAAATTTAATTGTTATTTTTTAACCAAAATAGTTAAATTACATTTTGTTCAGTACTGTGATTGATACTGCTTATCTTCAAAAAATAAAGCCTTACTGGAAAATTGACAAAGTGGACGCACATGAGTATCTCAAATACAAGTACAGTAATACATTGACAGAGTAGACATTGTATTTTATGTGTTATTAAAAAAAGTATTAGTAAAGCCAGATCCTAGCAGATGGTGTTAATTGTATGTTCCCTACTGTAATGGATATAAAAGATTTTGCAAGAGCACTGATTAGCTGGGTTCTGGCACTGTCCTACTGAGAGATATCTCTCAGCTGTGGGCAAGCTCTCTCTATGGAGGAATGACTCCCTATTCGCCTTGGGTGTAACATAGTCTGTATGAACCAGAGAGTGTGTTTTTGGAATACTTGTTCCTTGTAGTGGGACTATGAATTGTAGCAACCAGAGGGACATTCTTGGGAATTTTGTTATGCTAGCAGGTGTTGAGGTGTTGTGACTCACTCCTGCATTGCTTTCAGAGCTGGTGGTGTTGAGCTTCTTTGTAAAAACGTGCATACTTTTTGAGAGCCTTGACAATCCAAAAGCTCAAGATTGGCTATTGAACAAGATGCCTCTATTGATATAATTAGGTAATAAGTGAAATAAGTTCAAGGCACAGATTTCTGTGGGAAAAGAATCTGTTTTTCCTGCTGAGGAAAAAGAAGAAACCAGCCTTCCAAAACCAACAGCTTTGGCAAAGCTGTTTTTCTTTTTATTCAATGCATTAGAAAGCCAGGAAAATAAGTAGGCATAAGAATGCATTTGAATTCCAGTGAACCTGCCTGATGCATCACTCTAGAAACAAAGTTCCCATTTATATATAGAATTTACAGAAAGGAAATTGGTTAAAACTGATCTAATGCTGATGTGATCCAGAAGGAAGGGGGTTTTACTGTGATTGTCAGAAGTCCACATTTCCTAATTTTCAGAACATAAGAAATTAGTTGAACATGGTTTATATTTCCCACAACTAGCAATTTTCTGTCTTTGGAAAGTTTTAGAGGGAGGAGCTCAGAGGTGCTGTGGGAGGGGCTAAAGTTCATATTAAAGTTTTGGCACAAGAGGGAGAATTGTCAGAGTAGAAGGCTTCTTCTGAGGTTTCAATTTAAGATGATCAGTATTTATGTTCAGATTCTTCTAAT